TTTTTTATTTTTGGGAAACCTGCATACCCATTTTTACAGTGGCTACACTAATTTGTAAGTGACAGGTCCCTCTTGCTTTGTATCTTTACCAGGATTCATTGTTTTTTGTTTTGTTTTGCTTTGCTTTGCTTACGGTTTTTGTTTTTGATGATTCTCACATTGACTGCCATGAAACACAATCTCATTTTACCTTTCATTTATATTTCCCCCGTAGCTAAAGATGCTGAAAATTGGTTACATATATTTATAAATTAGGTTTTTTTTCTACCTGAAAATTGTCTATTGAGTTCATTTGCCCATTGTTAATGGGATTGATTATTTATTTTTGAAGTGTTGGTTTCTTTCAGTTCTGCTTACATTCTGGATATTCTATGAACAGCTGGCAAAGAGTTGTTCCTGAATCTGAGGTCTGTCTCTTCATTGTTCTTCTCTGGCTGTGCAAGAGCTTATTAATTTGATGCAACCTGATCTCTTAGTTCTTACTATTATTCTTTGAGCTACTGGAGCGATATTCAGAAACTCACTGCCTATACCTGTGTCATGTTGTTTTCCCTCTATGTTTTCCACTAGTGGTCTCAAACATAACTCTCTTCTTCAGCCTACCTGATGCCTCTAAGCCCTCTTACATAATTTCTGGAGTAATGACGGAAATCAAAGTAAGCAGTGGAGTGGTGTTTTGTTTTGTTTTGTTTTGTTTTGTTTTGTTTTGTTTTGTTAAGGGAAATGCTGACAGGACTTTGCATAAGAGAACCTCCAGGGGCGATGTCACCCAACAGAATCTTCACGCTGCCCTCATTCCATCTGCCCTGTCCACTTTCTTCACCACCCAACTCCCCGTGTGCCTCTTCCAAAGTTATTTCTGGCCTTTTGTATTCTGGACTATGTCCAGACATCACTGGTCCTAACTACCAACATATACTAAATGCTTAGCTGCTTGTGGCCTTTTAATTAGCTAAATCTCACAGATCAAGTTGTCTGCAGCTGAACTAATCCTATGTAGGAGTGCATCTCAGTTCTATGAGGTCTTGATGCCTTTCTGATTTAAAACTAGTCCTTGAGTTGATACCAGCACATGGGCAACTCATATTTCTTAACTCACAGGTTTTCTTGTGACTCCTTATTCCCACCATGCTTCTAAAGGACACATTTCCTGCTTCAGAGCTGTTGGGAACATAGCTGAGAACAGTGTGCTGAAGCTAGCAGCCCTGGATGGTTCTCCTTTTAAGTTGTCTGTCTTTCTCAAGTGTTTGTCACATGAGCAGTAAAATCCAGCTGGTTATATTGCCATACAAAAACTCTCTGGGTGGAACCACACAGGGCTGCTAGATAAATGTGTGGCTGGATACATGGGCAAACTCAGTATTATAATTGGTTTGGGATGTTAAGAGTGACTGGCAGAGTAAGCAGGTAAAAGAACAAGTGATTTTTAGGAAATCAATGTATTAATAAATATAATTACAAGTAGTGTTTACACACCAAAATCTGTCATTTAATGCATTTTAAAATGCAGTGATTTTTTTTTAACATAATCAACATTTGTGTAGCCTTTGTCACTCTAGCATGTTTTTACCATAACAAAAGAAAATCCTGTTCCTGTTAGCAAGCATCCCCACTCCCTCCTCCCAGCCTCTGGCAACTATTAATCAATTTACTTCCCCTCTCTGTACCTTTGCCTGTTCCAGGCATTCTGCATATACTAAGTCCTACAGTATCTGGACTTTTGTGGGTGGCTTTTTTTCAACTATGATCCCATAACATTTTGAACATGTCTCACTGAGCACTTACTTTGTTTGTCTTCTTGTAAGGATGGAGAGCAGCACTTTCTAATACCAGGCAAGCACTCTCCCAATGGCTCTGACCCCTGCCCAATGCTTATTTTGGTAGTTTATAGGAGCTTGTGCCTCTGCCAGCCTTCCATTGGATTATCAGGCATCATAAGGTCAGATATTTGCCTGGTTTATTTAGATATTTCAAGTTGAGTTTGTCACAGTGTGGCTGCTCAAAAAATATTTTCCAGACAAATTGTTTCTGTACTTCTAGAACATCTGGTTGACTCTATTCATATCTATATGCATAACAAAATGAAAACCTTTAACTAGATATAGATTACTAGAAGAAAAAGGGAGATCCTGGTTGCATTATGGTTTGCTCAGGGAAATGTTTATTTCCCTCCTTTGAGACGTGGAGCTGAGCAGAAGAACAAAAGCTTTATGTCATGTGTATAGTTATATTTCAAAAACATTACTAACTAGAATGCATAGTTCACAAGTTTTTGAGGACTTTTTGTAACTAGACTTATATAGATATATAATTAACATATATTTGGGGATTCTGTGTATAACTTATTTTCCTGGGGATACAAAAAATACATCAGACTGAAACCCATGTTTATTCTGCCCCACCCCCAAATTTTGTTTGCATATATTAATTATACACTGTAATGAATTTCATTATGGCATAAGTATTATCATATTCGACCCCCTCACCTTCCATTTCTGCTGATCTTTATCCTCATCCAAATTCGAGCCCCTTTCTCCTTTCATGTCTTTTTCCTTCTGTTGTTCTTGGTCATGACTCAATGAATTTTTTGAGGGTTGTTTATGGGACAATGAGCACCTATAGGACAATGAGCTACTCCACTGAAAAAAAGTGTCTCTCTTTCCCCCCAGCAACCATGAGTCTTATGACAAAATGTAAATAGGCTTTCTTGTGGAGGTCTTGTGCTTTCTCTAAGTTATGAGTATTCATATCTGTGTGTATATCCTTATCTAGCACACCCTTTATTGCACTGAGATGTATTGTTTATTTAGCTCTTGGTGGGCATTTTGGGGAAGTTCTGTGAGGTCTTTTTTACTGCAGCTTTCTATTGAAACAAGCTTTCCTTGCAATGCTGGTTGGTGATGTTTGGTGTGGAAACAAGTTAAGGTTTGTTGTGTTTTTTTCTTTATCTCAAGATATTTTCTAGCCTCCATTATAGTTTCCTTCTTAGCTCAAAAGTTGTGTTGTTAAATCTCCTTGTATTTGTCAGTTTTCTTGTTTCCATTTGTCAAATGATTTGCATCTCTCTAAATTTAAGGTTCTGTGATCTAGCATGTAATCTACTTTGGATACTACTCTGTACAAGCAGAAGCACATGTCTCCTGCTGTGGTTGAGTAGAATGGTGTGTTCACCCCTGGTGGACTTCTACGATTGAGCTGCCTAACTGACATCTTATGGGGATTATCTGTCCACTTTTGAAAGTGGAGTCCTGAAGTTACCTGACACTACTGTATTGCTATTTGTTTCTCTGTTCTATCAGTATTTGATTTACTGTCAGTATTTGTTATATATTTAGGCAGTCTGGTTTTCAGTACATATGTTTAATATGTTTGTATACTTAATGAATTAATTTTTATAAATATGAATTAACTCTTAGTTGAAATGCTTTTTCACTTGGTTTTGGTAGACATTTAGATGAATTCAAAAGTTTGACCTTATAAATTTGTGACTCTTTTCAAAGAACAGAGGTTCAGAAATAGAGCCATTGAGAGGACTCAGTGGATAAAAGTGCTTGCCACCAATACTAGGAACCTGAGTTTGATTCCCAGAACCCAAATGGAGGAAAGAAAGAGCCACCCCCCAGAACCTGGGCTAGCAGAATAGTATCCTAAACATTTAATTCTAAATTGCTTGTACTGCAGCCTCTTGAGTGTATGAATATATGATCTCACTTATTTTTACATCTCCCATTGACTAAAATTATGTTGGAAACAGTCTAACTTCTACAAAAAACTATGTTATTTACTGGCCAAAGGAGCAAGTGAGTCAACAAGTAAATTAATAGTAGCAAAGTTTTGATGCCTAGAAATTAGTCACACATTTTAAATTTCATAGCCAATTGCTTCTCCCCCCCCCCCCCCAAAGCTGCTAGTAGACCTGGTATTTTCATGTGGGTTAGACATGGACACACAGATCTTCCCTTATCCCAAAGGCAGCTACTTCTCTGGGTAGAGAGGCACTGTAAGAGGTCGACATGTCCCACGTAATTGTCAACTCATTCAGAAGCTCACTTCTGTCTCTTCATGAGGCTGCCACCTGCAGCCACTTTTCGTTAGGATTTCTAACCCTCTTGTGTTCGCCAACCAGTTGGTAAAATGGAAAGCATGGAGAATACTATGTGTATGACATGTACACATTTGCAGAAATTTTAATATGAGGAATGGATTTTCATATTTGTGCTGTGTTTAAAGCCTTATATCTTGACAGGATAAGCTCATTTCAGCTTCACTTCCTGCTCCAGTCATCTCCTGCCACTTGATTCATCTTTTTTTTTTTTAACACAAGATAGATTTTCTCAATCTTTTCACAAAAGCTAAGCCTCCTAAGACTGTCATTTATGGATGTAAGGATGTGGTTTGTCAGTTTAGCATTTCCTGAATCGTTTCTGCCAACACTGACCTTCCTAGCTCCTCAGCTCAGAAAAGGCACTCTGACTGTGTCATGTGCTTTGGTCTCAGAATTTTTTTTTGTCTTGTTTTTTTCAGACATAATCTCACTATGTAGCATGGGCTGACCTTTAAGTAGTGGTCTTCCTGCCTCCTGTTCCCCAGTGCTGGGATTCAGGTGAATGCCACCATGCTTCTTGTTGTTTTGATGGCACTGCCAACTGAATTGGTGACCTCACACATGCCAGGCAAGCCAAGTACCTCTACCAGAAAACTTCAAGCCTTCAACAAGGCTGCTCTTTTTCAAAATGAACTGCACAGAACACCCCTGACTCTACTCCTTCCATCCTCCATGTGCAACCCCTGGCTGCAGCTTTTTCTGTCTTTCACATGTTTTGCCACTTTGTCTAGATTTACATTTTCACTCTCATAAGACAGCTTTAAGTTCTAGAGGGTAGATGCATGTCCTGTCCTTGCCTGCTCTCATGATTTACAATCTGTGTCTCTCGAATCTTGAAGATGAGGCCAAGTTGGTATTCTACAGACTATGACGTTAATTCTTCCCTTTCTTGTAGCCATACTTCCCATAGCTTCCAGCTGTTGCACTGAAGTCTCTCATCATATTTCCAGAAGGCTTCTGGAAAGAGTGAATTCATGCAGCATCCAGAGAGCTGACGGGGACTGTGACTTGGCTGCTGTCATGTGAGTGCTCCTCAGCAAGAAAAACTGAATGTTGATTATCCCTTTGGCTAACAAGCAATAGCCTGGAATGTTTTTCCTGACACGCAACCCACACTTCATTTGAACAAGGGTAGGAAAAGTAACTTTTCTGTCCATTGAGCACCAGGCTACCTGGAGTAAACACACAATCTCTCTGTACTGGAATGCCCTGAGTCCTACGCACACTCTTCACCCTCCCAACAGTACTGTGTTGGGGTTAAATGTCCTCAGTTACCAGAAATCACTTAATGACTTTACTAAGATAAACAAGGAGGTTCTGTATGAAAAGAACAGCAATCAGAAACAGCACTCTCATAGGTCACAGTGTTAAACAATAACTTTCCCCAATCAGGAGATGTTTGCTGACACATTTACTCTCTAAATTCAAAAGGAATTTATGTGGCAGTGTCTGAACTTGTCACAGGACTGAATGCAATCCACCTGCAAATGCTCTTAGCTGCATTAGATTCTGGGGGAATGATGGTTCATGGTGAACCTCCTGGTCCTCCTACCTCTTCTACTCCACCCCAGAGTCAGTTCTGCAGTCCAACACCAACGTGACGGGAAAGCATCGTCTATCTTCCTATCATGCAGAAAAAACCAGTGGATAAGATTATACAGTTCAGCTGGGCAGTGGTGAAGCACACCTTTAATCCCAGCAAGAGGAAGAGGCAGGAAGCTCTGAGCCATGCTAGTCTACAGAGTTAGTTCTAGGGCAGACAGGGCTACACAGAGAAACCCTGTCTCAAAAAAAATTTACAAGTTCACCTGCTACAGTATTGCTAGCAAATAGCAGAGATGGGATTCTCACACAGATGACTTGTTTAAGAACACTATACATATTCCAAGATCATTGAAAAGAGAGATTGGAGCTCACCATAACACGTTCTTCCAAGGTCAAGTATGCCTTCAATCCTCGATTTTAGGAGGGTAAGGCAGATGGATCACCAGATCAAGGTCAGCCTGGGTCACATAGTGATGGTCTATCTCAACAAAGAAAAATTTTATACTCTTAAACTCTATCATGCCAAATGTGAGTTCTCTCCCTGGCATGCTGGGATTAACACTTCTGACGCATCTGGGTGATGCTGGTGAGCCATTTGGCATTCTTTCCTTTGGATTATAAAATACACCGTTGTTTATGTCCGAGCTCCTGAGACACCCAAGATTTCATTCTATTAACAAATTTGACAAGTATCTATTAGTCAGAGATGATGTACCAAGAAACTATTCCATGAACAAGGATACAGCAGAGATTCAATGGTCTCTGGTCCTCTGGCATCTCTAAGAGACTTTTTAACCAGCTGGGTTCTACTGGCCCATAGAATACTTTTTTATGGTAGTTTGAATCACTTTTAGGATTACACACACACACACACACACACACACGCACGCACGCACGCACGCACGCACACACACATGCACACGCACACACACGCATATACTTTTTTTTCCCAAGGGAAATGGGAAATACATTGTTTACTGTGTGTCATATGCCCAGTTATTGCTATTTTATTAGAAAAAATGAGATAATGAATGCTGATGAGTTTTCAGCATCTTTTCATAGACACCTACTCACTATGGAAATCGAGAAACCCTGATCCAAGACAAAGGGTTCTTAAAATGGCAGAGCTATTCAGTGACAAACAACGTTCTGTAGGTGCTGTTCTTTTAAACTCTACTTTATTTGGGATTCTTTAAGCCTCAACTTCCCTTCCAACTCCCCAACCCTAGGTAGGAGAGAAAGAAGGTTAAAAGCGAAAGAGGATGTAGACCTCTTTAGACTTAGTTCCAGCTGATTAGGGTCATTAGGTTCTTGGGGAAACACCAGTCTCAGTTGTCAGGATAGCTAGCAGCCCAGCAACAGCAACTGGCAAACACAGCAGGACAAACAAGCAGCCTTCTTTCTCCTCCAACCATCTCCTCAAAGATTCCCCACTCCCCTCTCAGAACATCCCTTGAACCATCCTTCTCTCTCCCTGGGCTCTTGCATTTATACCCTCTCCGAGTCCTCAGAATTCCAATAACTGCAGCTGGCAAAGAGCACAACCCTCTCTGAGGGAGAGGCAATTATCAGCTGTGGACAAAATAAGGGAGTCCCATATCCCACACTTGGAATTTAAAACAAAAACCTGTTTATATAACATAACTATGTTTTTTAAGAAACCAAAACTTCTACTGCAACCCTCAGATTAGGGGGCTGTGAATTCCTTTACATTTTTATGTGTAAACCTGTAAGCATGTTTCTAAGGAGAAGGTCTGAACCATGGGCTTTATGAGATTCTAAAAAAAATTCAAAGGTCTAATTAAGTTTTAAAACTATGCTTGGGGTCAGATGCTGAGGAGCAAAGAATTATTTGTCCAAGATTAAATAATCTTGAATGTCTGTAGAAGAAAACAGAGGGTGGAGAACTCTCCCAGCATTTCCTCAGTTCACGCTCCCCTGGATCCTTCAGCTTGGATGGCTTAGTGACTGGAGCCAGTGTAATCTTTGGCAGTCCTACAGGCTAATTATTGAATGACTGCTCTGCAGCTAGTGGCACTATTCTGGGAGGTTCGATAAACTGGGGGGGGGGGCGCTGAGGATATGGCCTGGTGGGAGAGAGTAGGTCACTAGGGATGTGACTTTGCCCCCACTCCCTTCTTTCCCATCGGTGTTGGATGCCCTGTGTCCTGTTGTTCACAACGTGAAGAACTCCTTCTACCACATTCTCCCACTGTCATGTTCTCACCAAATGCTCAGAGCCAATTGCTCACAGACTAAACCTTCTGAAACCATGAACTTCCCCTAAATCTGTCCTTTAAATAGTCCTGTAAGACTAATATGGTATACTCAATTGAAATTCTACCAAGATTTAATTTGATCTTAGTAAATATCATTGGCAATAGTTGGAGAGCCAGAAATTCAGAGAGTTGATAGCAACTTTTGTCATCCTGATGTCTGCATTGCAGCTATACTACTGAATGAAATTGACCGAGCCTCTTCTGGCTGCTCCGAGAAACCTAAACTTCCACTGTTCAACTCAAGTCCTTCCACATCACTGAAATGCATAGCTGTCATTTCAGCCTAAAGGAGGCATAGAAGATTGGCAAGGGGGCTAGAGAGATGGCTCTAGTGGTTAAGACCTCTGCTCTTCCAGAGGTCCAGAGCTCAATTCCCAGCAACCACATGGTGGCTCACAACCATCTATACTGGGGTCTGACATAGAGCACTCATACACACTAAATAAATAAATATTTTTAAAAATAATTTATTTAACTTTATTTTATGTGCATTAGTGTGAAGGTGTCAGATCCCTTGGAATTCGAGGTACAGACAGTTGTGAGCTGCCATGTGGGTGCTGGGAATTGAACCTGGGTCCTTTGGAAGAGCAGACAGTGCTCTTAACCACTGAGCCATCTCTCCAGCCCCCATAAATATTTTTTAAAAAGATTTACAAGGAAGTCTCAGGTACGATTAGAAAAAGTTTCCATAGGTATTTAAGAGACAGCTTCTTGGGATTACCAAAGAACACCATTGGTAATAAATAGGGTTTCAGTTTGGGGGGAGGCGGTATGGTTAGTGAATGTCAGACATCTAAAAGGTATAGTAACAAGAAATGGTGTAAACCTTCTGTATTTGTTACTTTTCTACTTCCCTGACCAAAACACCTGACAGAAACAATGTGACTGAGGAAAGATTTATTCAGCTGATGGTTTCTAAGTGGTCCAGTCCATGGTGGAAGTCAGTGGCAGAGTTCATGGTGGAAGACTGTGTGTAGCAGAAGCTTTTCACATCATGGTGGACTAGGAAGCAGAGAGTGAGGCCAGAACCAGTTGCTGGACTATAACTTTCAAAGTTAGTTGCTAGCAAACATTTCCACCAGCAAGTCCTTACCTCCCAAATGTCCCACAGCACCCCAAATAGGACCACAGCAGGGAGCAGGGATTGGAAACATTAGCCTTCAAGGAACATTCCAGGCTCAAAACATAACATTCACACTTTGATAAGGAAAAATGTGATTAAAGGATTAATATTTAGTTTTTTAAAGTACAAGCTTTTAATTAGAGAGGAATTAGGAAATAGACATATTTAATTTATTAGAGTGCAAATCTGTAACTTGAACTCTGTGCTGATAGGTTGAAAAGTACAGGGCAGTTGTGATTTGGTTTCAAAATTAGATTTTGTACTTTTAGCGATAAATTACAGATCCTCTGTTATGTTTTCTAACACTCAATATAAGAAGTATTATTTTCAAATGATTTTACTATGGAGCATACCTGTATTTGTCCAAACTGTAGTCATCTAACCATGATGGTATGTAAAGGCTTTAAGATGTGAGAGCAGTGTTTAAGATACAGGTAACATTCCTTGTATATCAAATGTAACTCCCAAGCGTCATATGCTAGAAGCTACGATTAATATTAATATAATTAAATATCGATAAACTTATTAGACTCTCCCCTCCATTTTCTGCCTTTGTATGTGACCCTATAAATGATCATTGTGCTTTTCTGATGCTCGAGACAGCAGTTTACTTGTTTACACCCTCTACAGTGACTGCATCAAGGAGCTTCCAGAGATACAATGAAAAGCTGCTATTGTTGGCAGGGCTGAGGTTCCCTGCACGTCATAGACATTATCTCTTGGATGGAAAAATCTGTTTTCCCCAGTGAAGTCATTCAGGAGGTTAGAAGAAGAGGGGAAGAAACAAACTTTAGGGAACAAACCCAGGTATAGCCAGCATAGCAGGACAGCAGGGCCATGGCCATTGGACTACTTTTTGTTGTTTTTGTTTTTTTTTTTAATATAATTTATTTAATTTTTATTTTATGTGTGAAGGTGAGCTGCCATGTGGGTGCTGGGAATTGAACCTGGGTCCTTTGGAAGAACAGACAGAGCTCTTAACCACTGAGCTATCTCTCCAGCCCTGGTTTTGTTTTTTTTGAGACAGTCTTTCTACATAACCCTGGCTGTCCTGGAACTCACTGTGTAGCCCGCACTGGCCTTGAACCTATAGAGATCCTCCTGCTTTTGCCTCTCAAGTACTGGGATTAAAAGCATTGGTCACCATGCCCTGTCTATTGGACTATTTTTAAGTACCCTCCCTGGAGGTGAGCTTGTGCCTATTGGGGATTATGAACCCGGGGGTGTCTAAGGGAGTTTGGGAGATGTGGATGCTATTTCTTTTCTCAATGTTGCCTCATCTTTTAATCACAAATGAAAGAGCAATAGGATACAAACTGAGGTTCAGTACATTCTACACATGAGGATTCTAAGCACCATCATAGAAATTGCATTCAAAGGTATGTCCTACAAGGATGGCCATAGGATAGGCTTCCACAAGCTTGGCTGCCTGTGGCTTTAGCACCCACTCAGTTACCACCTTCTATGGCTTCTTTCTGTGTATGCATGCTTCTCTCCTTTGGACATGGAGGAAGGAAGGAGCGGCAACTAGTTTTTTTGGTTTTTTTTTTTCCCCAATCTAGCAGTGCTACAGGCAGATTTTCTCCTACAAGAAAAAAAGAAAGAAAGAAAGAAAGAAAGAAAGAAAGAAAGAAAGAAAGAAAGAAAGAAAGAAAGAAAGAAACTGGCTGCTGAGAATCAGCATTGATTCTGAAGCCGTCTCCATGTAAGGAGATTTATTAGAGAGTACACTGTCTTCTATTAGGGTGTTTACTCCTTTCAATTGATTTTCTCCACAGTCTGGCTTTCCTATGATAAAGCCCACCCAAACCTTTCCACATCAGCTTCCTCTGTGGGTTCCACACATTATCTCATAATGATTTCTCCTAAGAGAGATGGCAGCCTATTCCCTGCCCCTTCCTTCATCTCCCTGTGAATACCACGCTTCAGGGTTTCAATTTATCAGGACATAGCTACATTAGACATGTAGATACAGCAGGATTTGCCACATTCCATCAGATCTGCCTGACATCTAATGGACAGTTAAAAGTCACATAATTTTTTTTATAATAAGAAAGTCTAATAACCCCAAATTGTGAGCACTACTTCATAGAAAAGTGGAAACAAATTCTGAATTGTGATTTAGAACTACACTATGTTAAATTTTATCATACAATAAAATATTTTAGTCAATTTTTCTACTGGCCAAATTTGACTTTATATCTGTAATGAGTTAATAAGTCCCTACCATATAAAAGGGCTTTTCAAAATTATATCTAGATTATCCCTCTATCAAGATGCAACGTTTCTTCAGTAGGAGAAACAAATTAAGTACTCAAACTAAAGCCATGGGAAATTAAGTACCCAAAAAAGGCATAACCTGAGTGCAGACTCAGAGGGAAGAAGGGGGTCTGGACAAAGATGTGCCTGAGAAGGGCAGTAAGGATGAACTGATTTTACTGGATGAAGTTTGAACAGGGAAGAGAATTATTTTACCTAGGTCAGTTATTATTGTTTTCTGTTTCCCTCCTTTCTTTCTCATTTTTTCCCTTCTCTTTCTCCTTCTCTTCCTCTTCATCCAGTTTCCCCTTTCTCTCATCCTCAGTTTAGATACTTTCTGCGGACAGCTGAGGACAAACGGACAGCAATGTCTGTAAAGTAAGGATTTCTCCTCTTGGTGTTCAACTTGAAGTCCCTGTGAATGCAATGTCCAAAAGTGAAGGCTAGGCTACCTACAAGTCACTAGTTCTTTGATATATTCATAATTCTTTTTTTTTTTTTTTTTTTTTTTTTTTGTCTTTTCAGGCAGGGTTGCTCCATGTAGCCCTGCTGTCCTGGAACTCACTGTAAACCAGTCTGGCCTTGAACTTAGAGATCCACCTGCCTCTGCCTCCTGAGTTCTGGGATTAAAGGCATGCACCACCACACCTAGCTTATGTTTGTAATTTCTATAAAGCTCTTTTTTCTTCTTTTTCTTTGCAGCCTTCATGTTAAACGCAGAAGAATCTGCATCAGCCCTCACAATCATACTTTGAAGCAGTGGATGAGAGCCTCAGAGGTAAAGAAGAGTGCCAAAGCAAACCTCTGCCAAAATAAAAAACAGCACAGCAGGAAGGACAGAAAAGGACACACTCTGGGAAAGCATGGACCACATGGCCACAAAACTCCTCGTTAGAATACATTCATGAACCTACAGTGATAACTCAAGGGAACTGGCCCATAGTTAGTTATAAATCTGTCAACTGAATCTTCCTTATTGACACCCAATAGTATTTTATTTTGTTAATGGATAATTACATCTAAGGGTATAAATTCAGTGGTAAAGCAGTCGGGTGGCATATGTCGGTTCAATTCCTAGCACCAAAAGCATACATGTAAGACCTGGGGTCTCACAGCGCAGGAGTTCAAGACCGCGCCCTTCCCAGAAACTCCCCCAGACCAAGACTCATTGCAAAAGCAAGAGGTTTATTAACCATTGCGCCATGGGGTCACCCCTGCCGGTCAGCAAAGAGTGGCACCCGGAGACAAAGGCCTTTAGGTTTTTAAAAGAAAAATTGTGGGAGATTTGAAGTTGCAGTCTTGGCAATTTAGGATTGGATGAGGAAGCTATAAAGTAAGATAATTGGTTAGTCTTAGGTGCTCAAGCTTGGCCAGTCCTGCCAAGTGTGGATGCAGCTGCAATTTAAGGTGGGGGTTCAGCCTTGAAGATTAGGGGCTGCGGACTTTTGGCTGCAGGTCAAAAGCTACTCAGAAGAAGTCTGGGTTCGTTGCTAAGAAATGCTATCTCAAAGACAAGGGTCTGGTCCTTTTTTTTTTTTTTTCTGAGTGAAGGTCATTGCTTGTTTGCCTTTTTTTATATCTGTCCTCACAGATAGGGTCACATCCTCCATTCTCTGGAAGGTACTAAGAGGCTTTAGCTTAACTTGAACCTAAAACTCAAAGCTATAGGCTTTAGAAGACATGCAGGTTACACAGTTAGTCTAACCCTTTCATACAAACAAGACTATGCACAAGCAACCAGTAATATGCTTAACTTAAAAACTAATTGAAAATATAAAATTCATTCTTATATATACATTTAAAGGGATAATATGGATATAATCAGTGTGTGTGTGTGTGTGTGTGTGTGTGTGCGCACAATACATACATATAAGAATTTCTTCACTAAGCCATTTGAAAAGTTGCAACATAATGGCCTTTGTCTTAGTTAATTTCTTGTTACTAAAACACATTTCTGATTAGGTAACGCCTAAAGAATGCAAGTTTATTTGGCTCAGGTTACTGAGATGAGAAAGCCTAAGAACTTGGCATGTCTGGTTGGCATCTGGTGAGGACCTTCTCAGTCTACCTGAATGTGACAGAGGTCTGAATATGGCAAGATAGCTCTGTGCGCCAACTCAGATCCTCTTCCCTTTCTCATAAAGCCACTAAGAACATCAGGGAGACTGCACCCTTGCAGCCTCATTTAACCCTAACTACATCCAAAGCTCTGCCTCCAAATGCCAATAGACTTAAGAACCAAGTTCTAATACATAACTGTCTGGAGAATGTATTTAAACCATAGCAGTACTTCAGTCCTGATTTATTTCTAGAATTATCACTTGGTATCCCCAAGAGGAAACACATTTTCTAAAATTTTCAGTCCAGCTCATATATTGCCTTTTGTTTTTATGTTGCTTTAATATTTTCAATATAAAAAAGTCTCTCAGGCTTTTTCTTTCTTCCCTTTCTTCCATTATTCCATAGCATAGACTTTTAAAAAGAGTAAAGGTTGGAATTGGTTTCACATTCCAGGTTTGTCTGATTGGCCTTCCTGATCAGAGCCAGTCTTTTCTGTTTCAAGCTTCCTATGAAGATTTTTATACTTTTTTTTTTCCTTTGTGGTTGTGTAACACCATTTTTTTTTTTTTTAAGTAGGAAAGTGTAAGCCAAGTTGCACTTAGAGGTTTGAGTGGCTATAATCATGTTGTAAACTCTAACGCTGAAAAAGAAACTGCCTCACTGCCCAGAAACATTTCTCTTCTGTGGTTCTCAAAGCAACCGCCGCATTCTAAATACAGACCCTGGACTGGTGGGTAATTTTGTTCTTAACAGAAGTCCTCTCCTCTCTTCTCTCTCTTTGTGTGTGTGTGTGTGAGAGAGAGAGAGAGAGAGAGAGAGAGAGAGAGGGAGAAAGGGAGAGAGGGGGAGAGAGGGGGAGGGAGAGAGAGGGAGAGAAGGGGAGGGAGGGAGAGGGAGAGAGGGAGAGGGAGGGAGAGGGAGAGGGAGAGAGAGAGAGAGAGACTGGCCCAGAACCAGCTTAAGTAGGTTAACCAGGCTGGTCTCAAACTCAAAGAGATCCACCTGGCTCTGCTTCCTGAATGCTGAGATTAAAGGCATGTACCACCTCTCTTAACTCTCTAGAAGCCATTTTTTAAAAAACTTCTAATCTACATTCTCCATGTTTTATGAGTTGATTCACCCTGGAGAAGCTTAGACACGTGGTAAAAGCTCATTTGCCATGACGAGCATTAGGATGGGGTCAGTTTTTCAGGCTGTCCTTGGTGTCTTGGGCAGTTTCAGGTAGTGGTATTAAAGAGTTACTCGGAGGTACAAAGGGGACACAAAAAAGTGCTAAACCTGATGTCAGTTAAAATATCCCCAATGCCTTTGCCCAGTGCCCCTCATAGAAACTGATGTAGCATGCAGTTTCTGTAGGTTCTTCGGCAATCCTGCAGCTTTGTTTGGTAGTTCTACTTCATGGATAAGGAAAGTGGAGGCTCATAGAGGTCAAATGCCTTGCGAAAGTAAGAGGCAGAGACAAGCTGTGTCCAGATTGCTGGATGCTTGCCAGTTCTTGCAGCCTCAGTGTTGGACAGAGATTCGTGGACATGGAGGTGAGAATATAATGGAACTCTGTCTCTGCTGTACCCAAATGGTGAGGGGACACATGCTGGTTTATAGCATGAAAACATCTGCCACCAGCACTGTGTGTGATGATTATTGGCCAAAGCCACTTTCACAGACCAAAACAGGCCTCAACCTGATTGGATGCACTTTCATATACTCTCAAAGTGGAAGAAACTCCAAGATATTACAGTCTTTGAGCTGAGAAATCTTTTTCGTCAGGTCCATTTTTTGAACCTATCATCAGATTTTTGTCTAGAAGTACAGCATTCTTCTGTTCTTTGAAAGGCAATTACTGTATCACCATCATCACCTAGACCAAAGTGCAGGTCTAAATGCTGAAGAAGGCAACACTGAATTTAAAATTGTAGTAATATTCAATGGTGTAAAAAATCAAAATAAGTTACAAGTTTTAAATTAGTCCCAATAGCCATGTTGAAAAGTTAAAATAAAAACTAAAACATTGATTTCTGAGCCTTTCAACCAGTCATTTGAATCATATATTTTTATTTTATTTCTTCTTGTAACTCATATCATCCATAATTTGATACAGTTTGGAGTTGCTATCAATATCAGTATTTTGTATGATATATTTTAAAAGCTGGTTGTTATGGTTTGGGTAGGTGTCCTCAAAGGCCTATGTTCTAAAGGCTTGTTCTTCAGACTGTGGTGCTCCTGGGAAGCAGTGGAAAATCTGGAATTTGGAGTCTAGTGGAACCAGCTTAGGTCACTGATGGTGTGAGCTTTCTTTGTTTCATACCACCAGGAATTAAGATGTCTCTTTGATCTTATATTTCCACCACAATATTCTGCCACAGGCCCAGAAGTAGTGGAGGTCCGACTGATCAAGGACTGAAACTTCTAAGACTGTGAGCCAAAATGAACCTTTCTGCTTTTTACGCTGATTTGTCTCAAGTATTTGTTACAGAAAGAGAGGGTATCAATGCAAGGATTTTATTGTAATGTAAATAATTAAAGAGATTATAAAAAAACCTCTTAGAGACTATCTTGTGTGCTTAGTGAAGTATTATCACTCTTGCTATACTATGGACATTATGGTATTGCGAGTGCTGTCACTTTAAACAAGTCAACCATGTTAACTGTAAGCAAGGGAGGAGAAGTATTTCTACCCTTTATTAAAAAACAAAATTTACATTTTATTATAAATTGATTTGTCTTTTTTTTAATAAAGGAGCAACTCAATTTTTTGCATTCTGTTCTTCTTATTTCAAGACTTAATTCCTTGATTAATGTCTTTGAGGTTTGTTTAGAAGTTTTAGTTCTTTCTTTTGTTTTTGTTCATTTGTTTGTTTGTTTGAGACAGGGTTTCTCTGTGTAGCCCTAGTTGTCCTGGACTCACTTTGTAGACCAGGCTGGCCTCAAACTCCCAGAGATCTGCCTGCCTCTGCCTCCCTGAGTGCTGGGATCACAGACGTGTGTCACTGCGCCCAGCAAATTTTAGTTCTTTTAGGGAGTTAGTACCATAATTTCAGATGAAGTGCTCAAAGTGCCATTTGTTTGTGCATCTTAGGCAACCATCTATGCCTCCTATTATGCCTATGTCTCTTCCTTTCTCTCTCCTCATCCTAACCCTCCAGTTTCTTTGCTATTATTTGTAAACCTTGACTGGTATAACTCCCTCCCATCCATTAGTGCACTGACCCTTCCTCTTTTTCTGATTCTCCTTCCATACTCTGCGAGCTATACTTGAACACTTATTTATACATAAGAGATTGGATACTACAGTTTCATAGTATAACAATGTCTTCATGCTTTCTCTATTACAGGTTCCCAGTCCTGACAGTTCTGACAACTTGGGCTGGATCATTCTTTGCTCAGGGACTCTTCTTATATAGATCCTTTCTTTCTTGTTTTGGTGAGTCACTCACTTGAAGTCTCAGGGCTGGTCAAAAAGACTACAGGGAATTCTCCATTTGTATGTGGGAAGCTGTTCATAGTTCTAAGAGTATAGATAACTGAGTTCATAGCCACTGTGGGGAGGTTGCATTCTTCCATTTGAGCAGCACCTTTGGCTCAGTGACAGACTAGGTGTCATCCAAATGTCTCCAGATGTTGCCAGATGTCCCTTGAGCAGAGAAAAAACAAGTATCTCTTCTCCAATTATAAACAACCAGCCTTAAATCTAAAGCAGATTTTTAAAATAGAAAGCCAGTTTAACTGAAGCATGTTTAAGGTGACCCCAATATTTCTCACCCTGGTAGACACATACCAACATCTCAAACATATTAACCATAACCAAGGTATTACAATAAAAGTATTTTGCTGCAATAACTAAAGTCACAGATCAGCTGACCTTAAGATAGGGAGATTATCCAGTAAGGAATGACAAAATCACTAGAGACCTTTATAAGTCTTAAGGTCAGAGACAGGAGGTTTTCAGAGATCTTGTGTTCATCACCTTGCTTTTGAACTAGGTAAGACCAAATCCCTAGACAGCTTTGGGGACTCAGAATTCCTGGAGATTTTGTGTCTCTAACACTTCGTAAAAACACACCCAGTAAAGATATAACTTTCTCCACCACCTGCCACTACCAGCCAGGCACATATGTCTGTGCTCCTGGTGTTCCAGGTGAAGATGACTGCAGTCTGATTCTGAATGTATAATGAGTGAGCAGTGTTGGTTGTGAGCAACCAGTCCATCCAGTGGAGCATACTGTTGGTCTTGGTCTCCTACATGGAAGCTACTGGTCAGGAGATGTCCCGGTGGGATATGTCTTCAGTCAAGTCACATTTGTTATAGCAGTTTGGATACTGCTGCCAAAAGGCCGAGAAACCTGCTCTGGGAACATCAGAGCACAGGGTGGCCCAGGAAATGCTTTACATGGTCTAGCCTTGGTGCATTATTTGTACTCCAAAGGGCTGGAGGGATGTGGCTCACAGAACTCACAGCTCTCTCACCACTGTGCCTCCAAATCATCACTGCCACAAGGAAGCATACAGCCAGCCCAGCACATCTCTGTGTTGTCTGTTCTAAGAGTCAGCTTTTGTACCCCAACTTCCCCTTTTCTATAGAGACACCAGCCACCATCTGTTGTGGATTAGGACCCACTCCAACAATTTCATTTTACAATGACCCCATTTCCAAATAAAGTCAGACCTTGAGGAACTGGGAGTTAGAATTTCACCATGAGAATTTGGTTGAATACAGAGACAATGTAGCCCATCAAAGGGAGGTGGAGGGAGGTGAGAATCAGGAGGAATTTAACGTCCAAGTTCCTGATCAGGTAGTTGGACAGAGCACTACCCCTCACATGCTACCAGGAACAAAGTGCATCACTCCAGTTGAGAGACAAGGGTGTGCACACCTGAGCTTGTACCGACTGCTCTTCATTGTTGGAAGAGCAGATGGATGCTCAGGAAACTTATTTTTAGACACAGTACAGGTTTGTTTGTTTTTTTAAATATGAAACAGGAAATGAACTCCTTCTAAATAGAAGTAATTACTCCTTTGTTTTGAATATCATAGATCATAGAACAAACTAGAAATGTTAGAAATATTTATACTTGTCCTCAAAATAATAACAGCAAAAGTAATTTTCCCCTAGATGTTATAAAGGGAGAAAACAAAGGATAGAGAGATTAAACAATTTATTCAGAGGCAAACCTATTAAGTGGTAGAACCTGGGATCCAGCCATAAACTTTGTTAGCACTAAACCCTGACCCATTTCTCTGTATATTTCCTAAACTGTCAAGTGGTTTCCAGCAGACTTACAGTCATTCTGGTTGGAGACTTGAGAAAGTATCTCTTTAGAATATCCTCATTCCTGCCAGGGTGGTTACAATATTTTAAAAGTGGGACCTTTAAGACAAGACTAGATTAATAAGACTGCAAAGATGACTCAGGACTTAAGAGCACTGGCTCCTCTTCCAGGGAACTCAGATTTGATTTCCAGTGCCTACACAGTGGCTCACAGCCATCTGCAGCTCCAGCACCAGGGGATCTAACACCTCTTCTGTCCTCTGTGGCCAGCAGCCATACATGGGTGCACAGACATACATGCAGGCAAAATAACCATACATATAAAAATAAGAATAATAAAAAGTGACTAGATTAAAGCTCTTACAGAGGGAGTAGGTTAGTTATCACAGGAACAGTCACCTAGTAACAGTGATTCTGACCTGATTTTGCTGTCTTGTGTACTTCCTTTGCTGTGTGATACCCTCTGCCACATTCTAACAGGCAAGGATGCTCTGACTGCATGTCAGCACTATGGTTGAACTTTTAAGCCTCTAAAACAATAATAAGTAAATCACTCTTCCTCATAAATTACCCAGTAAATTGTTAGTGCTGGTATAATGTTCTTGCGGAATGTATACAATTTACCCTTGTTCATTCAAATGCTGATTTTTCTACCCCACTATCTGGTTTCAATCTGGACATTGCATTGTGATGCTTATTCTAAGCATCACCTGTGTCAAGTTTGTGTAAACATGCCACCATTTGTTCTCTGTATTGCCAATGAAACAACCAGCCAGTGCTGAGCAATGGCAAGAATAGGGTGGGACATCCTAGTCTGGAGGGGAGGAGAAGGAAGCGAGTGGGAGGTTGGAGAGCAGAGATGGGCAGGAAAAGACTTGGAACCGTGAGGAGGGATGAACCAGACCTAAGATATGACTAATTGTAGGAAACTATGTGGGCTTGGAGGCTTAGGATGGAGTAACTATTGCCCAGCAATTGTGCTCTAGGTTAATTAAATAAATCCTAGTCTCTGTGTGGTGATTTGGGTATACAGCTGATAACCACTGATTAACTAAAAGATAAACCAACATTAAATATTAATAAACAACAAGTTAGTTTTGTCAACTTGACACTATCTAACTTTAAACTTGGTGTGTGTGCATGATTATGCTTGCTCCAGCTCACTTCTTGCTTGTGCCACAGCATGTGAAGGGCAGAGGACAATTCTGAAGACCCAGTTCTCTCCTGCCACCTTGTGGGATCCCCACCTTGTGGGACTGAGCTCAGGTTGCTAGGCTATGTATAAGCACCTCTACCTCAGAGCAGTCACCCTGGTGCAACTTTGACACCACCTAAAATTGCCTGGGAAAAGAGTCTCAGTGTGGGATTGTTTACATTGCATTATCCTCTGGGCATCCATATTGGGGATTTTTTTCCTCTTTAGGGTCATCCTCTGTTGTCTTGGCTGATGTGAAAGTCTCCGTGTATCTCCCCCTGCCCTTGCTTTCCAAGGCCTGTGCACCATTACACCAGGCTAAGGGGGTTGTCTTGATTAAGCTAACTGAGGTGGCAAGACATGCCAACTGCGGGTGGGACCGTTCCCTAGGCAGGGGATCCCGAGCAAAGCCAGAGCAGAGAAAGTAAGCTGAGTACAACCATGACTGCATTCATTATGTCTCTGCTCTTAACTGTGGGCAAGACTAGTCGCTTCAAGTCCTGCTGCCTTGACTTTCCCACGGTAATAAACTACAATCTGCAGCTGTGAACCAAATAAAACCTTTCTTCTTTAAGTTGCTTTTGTCAGGGTATTTTATCACAGCAAGAGGAAATAAAACTAAAACTGTTAACATATAGGTAGTCTGCTTTTGGGTTGCCTAGTAACCTATGATGTCATCATGTGTTGCCCACCAGGTGTGTGGCAGGTGCTGTTCAGCTGAGCAAGCACAAGCTATAAAAGGACCAACCTGCCACTCTGTCTGTCTCTTACTCTCCTCTCTTGCTGTTTTCACCTTTCTTTCGGGGGGTGGGGGGTGGGGGGGTGGGAGGGGTGTGACCCACCATGTCTCTCTCTTTCCTTTTCCTCTCTATCTCTCCACCTCCATCCAATAAATCTCTTTCATATAATATTTGTGTGTGGCATCATTTTTAAATAAATATTAACGAAAACACCCAGTCACCCAGTCTCAGATATTATGCTTGGGCAACAGAAGAGAGACTAAGACAATAACCTACACAATACACATTCCCTCCCATTTTTGCTTTTATAGAAAATTGTTACTCATTTCCCACATCCAGGAATACTACTTTACTGTTATTCTAAGCTACAAAATATTGGAATGTTTATTAGGAAAGTCTATAAAATTTTTCTGAAATTATTTTTTTTCTTTTTATTCTTTGGCTGTGGCAACAAAAGGATTATTTATTGTATACAAGTTACACTTGTAGAGAACCTGTGAGAATAAACAAGTGAGAACTAGTCCAGAGTGGCCCAGGCCCAGGTCCAGGGTTAGGGTCAGTGGGGACTGTCTGGGTTGTAAGCAAGGCAGTCTCGTAGAGGAGGTCTTAGCAGTCTGATGGTGAAGGCGTATCACGGAGACATATTAACAGCAGAAACATAGTCCAGCAGATTATAACGGCATCCTGGCCTCCAGTGTACTGGCCTCCAGGGTCCCATATTTCCACTTCTTTGCCTCAATAGCTGCATAAGCTAGTTGATATGGCCTCTGACTCATCTGTCTTCTCAGGCACTTTTGGCTGTGCATGTGCTTCCTCTTCTTCACTTTTGTGGTACAGGAGTTTCAAGGCCAAGAACTAAAGTTATTATTACTTGTTTTTTGAGACAGGGTTTCTCTGTGTAGCCCTGGCCATCCTGGAACTTGCTCTGTAGACCAGGCTGGTCTTGAACTCAGAGAGATTTGCCTGCCTCTGCCTCCAGAGTGCTGGTATTAAAGGTGTGCACCACCACCACAGAGCCTTGAAATTTTTTTTTAATCTCTTTTCTTCCCAGAGATAGAAAGTTATTCTCTCCCTGACCTCTCTCCCTCCTTTCTTCTCTTCCTCCCTGTTTCCTTCTTTCCCTCTTATTTGGAAAACAGAATGCCTTGCCTTGGACTGAATTCTTAAACTATTCATACAGGAAATACAGATTTGTATTC